GTAGCATGGGAGATGGGTGGTCTTGTAGGGTGTCTTGCATTGAAATCTGCTGCAATGGCCCGGTTACTGTGTTACCAGATATCAACACAATTTCGATCCGCTCCTCACGTGTTAACCTCTTTGACATGTCAATGGCTGTGAACAAAGAGAAACTTGTAAATAACTCACGAAAGACTAAAGTTACGTTGAAACCAAGTACACCATTGTTTTTCTTGTGACATTACCAATAAGTTTGATGTGTCACATGGCCCTCTTCCTATGGAAAAAAACAAAAGTTGTGTCCAAGATGGCCGACTTCTAAATGGCCACCATGGTCACCACCAATCTTGAGGAGTTTGCCCCCTCACATATACTAATGTGCCACAAACAGGACTTTAATATCACCAACCAACCAACCAACCGAGAAACTGTTTAATTTGGAGGACTATCCAAATCATCAGTAGGATGACTTCAACTCGTTCGGAATGCAGCAGCCACAGTCCTTACACACACACATGGAAAAGTTACCATCCAGTTAAAAGATCTGTTCTTGAAGACCTGACAGGTTTAGTAGGGTTTTAGACACTGATCAAGTCATAGACGATAGGTGCACCCATCCATTTTCTTCCACTTTTTCAGTTCAGGGTCACGGGGAGACAGCACTGCAGCCTATCCCAGCTGTCACGGGGCAGGGTATACCCTGGACAGGTTGCCAGTCTATCACAGGGCTAACAGAGAGAGACAGGCAAATATTCGCACATTCACACCTAGAGCTAGTTTAGAGTTGGTAGTTAACCCCACTACCCAGATGTCTTTGGGGTGTGGGAGGAAGCCGGAGAACCCAAACAGACTGATATTTGGCAGTATTATCTGTTTGATCCCAGTTCAACACAAAATTACCTTTAAAATCCTTCTACTAGTTCATTAAGCACTCAGTGATTTGGCCCAACAGTACATCAATGACTTACTCAGTGTCTATAACCCTACTAGACCTTTCAGGTCACCAAGTCCAATCTTTTAACTGCTGCCAGAATTAGATCTAAGTGTGCTGATGATGCTTTTAGTTATTGTGGTCCTGTTTACTGGAACAATCTGACCTGATCTCTGCATACATTTAAATACAGACTCAGAAACGTTTTATGTTAAAAGCTCTACATTTAACTCTCTGTGTTTTAACTTATATTTTACTTCTTTGTAAAAATGTGCTATATCAGTTTTATGGTATAAAAATTGTATATTCGTTGTATATTCCTGTTTATGCTTTATGTGTAAAAATCTGAGCCATACAAGGATTCTTCCAGATATATGCATTATTGCAGTCTAAAATAAAACTAAAGCCTAAGTTAAATAGTAAAAAGCCTATAAGCATTATGACCATTTTGACCATTATGACCATTAGATGAAAATGTCATTTTATTTTTTTTTACTAGCATTCAATGTTTGAAAAGCTTTTCTCCTTAACCTTGCTGAGAAATACCGCTAGGTGGCGTAATAAAGCAAGTCGTGGCCTCCGTTACAGAGGCGCAAAGCGGCGATGCTCCAGCTCAACCGAGCCCAGCCCCCCACACGGCAAACCGGCCTGCCTCGGTGTAACAGGGGAGGTAAGCGCGGCTGCGCACGGAGCTCCAGCACTTGCTACTGGCATTTTCACGCACGTCGGACTAAAAGAAAACTAACTGGGAAGTTTATTTGGATAATTTTGAGATGTCGCTAATATACCCCAAAGGCCGGCGTTTTCCATAGGTTTTATTATATCAGTATTAGCTAACGGCAGCTAGGCACAAAGACGTGCAGTCATCTATACTAGCCGATGTTGGCTAACTAACTAGCTTGAGGACATCCTACTATCATACTCGGGTTAATCTCTGCTGACTCGCTCTCTGTGCTGCGTTAGCTGTTTCGTTGTAGCCGTTTTATCTGTACCACAAGTCAAGTGGCTGTGTGTGTTTTTTGCAGTCGCCACTCATGAGTGCGACACTTGGAGCAGCCTTTCTGCGTAGCGGGCTTGTTTCGTGGTGCATGTTTTCCAGCTAGCCGCGGCAGAGCTCGGGTCTGATTCGGGGGATGTGGTGGCAGTAGAAAAACAAGCTAACGATACTCTCGTCAGTACGAAGAAGTGAGGAAACACTTGATCCGAGTGGGAGTTCTCGTTTTCTTTTTTTCGTTCATTCTTTCTTTTTTTTCCGTTGTTGTTTACGTTGATCGTGATCCCGGGCTGGATGACGCTGACGCGGACCTGACAATCACTGGACACGGCTGAACTGAAACGGGGAATATCGCTAACAGATCGAAAGGATTATTTTGTGTCCCTTAAGTGGATTTCGGCCTCTCGTTAAGGATCTTCGTGTGAGCACAGCAAGTGTTTGACCCTACAGCAAAAATACCCTCTCTCCTAGAGCGACCTTTTACCCCCACAGCTTCACCCTCCGATGCGGAGATTGCAGTAGCACCGGCAACCAGACCCCCCTCCCCTCCGGCGGCCGGACATGCTGAAGTGTATCCCCCTGTGGCGCTGCAACCGCCACGTCGAGTCGGTGGACAAGCGGCATTGCAACTTGCAGACGGTTCCTGATGAAATATTTCGATACAGCCGCAGTTTGGAGGAGCTTCTCCTTGATGCCAACCAACTCAAAGAGCTACCAAAGGTATGCAGAGAATTTAAAACACCTATATACCAATACCCAGAGGGTGAGTCAGTACATGTCACTGCGCCAAATCCACATTTGCTAACAGTTTAGAATCACTCACCTGTTGTAGAGAAAAAAGGTGACATAACCAATAAAGCAGTTTGCATAATGTCAGCTGCTCAGGTACTTTCTCCTTATCAGTGCTGCCTCATTCCTCGCTTGGAAATGAGTTGCAGTGTTGTAACAACACATTCATTACAAAGTTGTGCTGCACATATGTTAGTGGATAGTGGGGCCAGTAATCAGTCCTTCTACAGTCAAAGCCATTAGTCGG